CTCTAAAGTTCATAACATTCAGTCAAATAGAAGCAGAATTATTTTTGTATAGCGTATCCTCCTGCTATCGCGTCTTTTTTGTGCTTATTTTCTTGAACTGTAACCTAAATGCAGTAAGACGGCATATCTTTACCTCCAAATATTGTACAAAAATTTCGCTCATAACTACAATCAAAATTGATATAAGTTTCGGGCTAAGTCCCATATAACGTGACATATTCGGTATTTTGGGCAAATTTTTAAATCGAATTGAATATAATTTGAAAATGTAGGCGTTCCTCCTATTAAAAGTGTCCTATGTAAGTGGTGGAGAATACGAAAAGTCTGGTCGCCCGAACTTAATCATTTAATTCATATTTAGCTAGTTATAATTAGTTATAATTATGTTGGGGAATAAGAAATTCATTATTTTTTCGGCAGATGGCTGTACTGAAAACTTTTGAAATTCATTCTCACTAAATATACTTACCCAATACGGAGACACCATGTTTATGGGCAGCATTTATCCAGCCACATGGTGGAATTGTAATATAGTTATGACTAAAATAACAAAAATAATCAACAGCTGACCAATGATAAAATCGATAGTCATCATATTTTTTTGACGAATGATAATGTCTGCAAGATAAGAAACAAACACACACACAAAAATTAAGTTAAAAGAAATTAAAAAAAATATATACAAATTAAGTTACCATTGCTTACCTGTCTTCCAAATAATTGCCCATCATATCGTGACATAGTAACACCTTACGCCGATTATGATTACCAATGGGTTCACGATAATTACTAATTAAATTAAATTGCCTCTGCAGATAGACGGGTGAGGATCTTGGCTTCTTTGGCGTTACATATTCATGCCAATTGACATCTTTACTTCGCACATTGAATTCCAGCAATTGTTCATTTGTGTGTATGGCTTCAGCTTCTAATTTATCTGCAATAGACAATGGAATTGACATTTTTTAAAATTATTTTTCAGCAAATAAAAAAGCTCTTGTAGTTTTATATTGTAACGAATGTAATGTGCAACTATATTTGAATGAGAGGAAGAAAAAACAAAAACACAACTAAATCCACCAGAACGAACCACTACTAATTTCTATTGTGTTCTATTGTTTCCTTATCATTTTCATATATATTTTTTTCTACATTGAAAACCATACATACAGACTACATGCAGTCTAGAAAACTTTGATTAATAAAAAACAATTTTTGCATAAAAACTATTGCAAACCAATGCAACATGTGAAAATGTATGTATGCATTTTATATCTGAAACCGTTTAGCTTATCGAAAGACATTGAATTGAAACAGAAAATATTTGTTATAAAACATAGGGTTTTCTATAGAAAGTTCAGACTATCAATACCTGTGAATTTTTATTAGAACTCATAAATCTGACGTTTATAAAAAAGGTACAGTCCTCAATTATTTACAGCTTTATAAAACAAAAACAGAATAGTTGTTAATTATTGATATTCAGTCTATAGATTCTGAAGATGTTGAAGGTGTTTACTGTCGTAAGTTTATAACTTTTACTCCTTTATGAAGTGTGTTCCTACCAAAGCATAAGCTACGATGATATGCATAGGTCGTGTGAAACTGTTGAGATGACGTTAAATAATTACTATCACTGATACGCTCATCGGGAAAAGATTTCCCAATTAGCGCTACCCTCTGGTCATCTGGAATTATATATAAACTTTTCCCTCGGGAATGTTTCGGCTTTTGCTATGTATGTTCCTGTGAAGCCTAAGCACTTATTACTGAAGCCTAACCTACTGTTTCTTTCCTATTTTTTTCTCTATCCCTACCGACGCGTACAAAACCGAAGGTTGAATTGTCCCAACAATGATTGATTCTTTGCAACAGGCAGGAACAACATACTCCAAAGGCTTTGAGGAGGATGTTATTCCTTTAGTTACAACTATTGTTAAAAAATCCGACCATATAAACTTAATCTTTGAAAAATTAAGGTCCATTAACCTCAACGGATCATAAACCGCACCTCATGAACTCATTATCTTTCCGAACTACAGGTGCGACAATTTTGCTTGTTGAAGTGGTGGTAGAGGAAAATAGATTTAATCAGTCTATATGATTTTTCCATGGTTCTGGAGTATAGTATAAAAAATAGCAAAACTTTGTAGATTCTTGTCACAAAGTCACATCAAAAAAACTGTTTGAAATTCACTTCAAATACATTTCGTTCAGTTTTATTCCATTTCGTTTTATTTTTCTAAATTGAATTTCAACAAAAAAAAAATTTTGAGAGGATAAGAAATATCACGTAAAAGAAAAACTCACATGATTTGTATTCGATGCAACAGCATTTCTTATCAAAAGGTGTAAAACAAAATTCGTTTGAAATATCTATTGGAAATACTTTAAGCGCAACACTCAATTGTGTCCGGTCATGAGCAACGTAGCAAAAATTGCAATCCCGCCAATCAAGTCAATAAAAGTTAAAAATGAAATTGATTGGCTAACATCAAGAATTTTTACACTTTTCATCAACAACCACAACCTTCACGAAATTATCCAGAATTTCACCAAGAATCGTAGCAATGATGATTGACTAGACTCTCACATTGCATTCATGCCAATTGGCCAATGTAGAAGTGATTCAATCATGCCACCATGAAGGTAAGTGCCAAAAAACGAAGTGAAGTTAATTTAAAACTGAGGTTAAATTGAGTGGTGGTTAATAATTGATTGCTGGGAATAAAAATACAAATAAATGAACGTTTCATATGTATAAAATTAAGGAATAAGGAGAATGTAGGAAAGTTCGTTATTTAGGTTTGCATTGCGATATTGATGCATGGTGTGAAATATTTATTTGTTACATCAAAGCGAATCTTGATAGATTCCTTGTTACATTTTAAGATATAGTTAGAATCTCTTTATACCCCATACCACAACTGGTATTGTCTTTGTGAATATGTCTATAATAGACAAAAGGAAACGATATAGACCCATGGATCCTTATAAGAATATGCATAGAATCAATCAGTCTTGGAAGACAAATTATTGCCATTTTGGGAAAGCAGCAACATTCAAGGACTCGTTTTTTAGCAGGACAACGCACCAGTTCATAAAAGTCGCCATACTCAAGTATGGTTAAAATCGAAAAATATTAAAATTTCCGACCAGAATCCGATCGAGAACATGTGTGGAACTGTTACAAAAATAATAATTCATATCTTTACTGAATTTATCATTCTGATCGGGAATACTGAATTCTGAATTGGCATAGGACACTACGTTTAAACTATGGCAAATTCATCCATTCGTAACGACAGCGGGGGATGGCGATCCATTTCATATTGTATGTTTAGCACTTATAATACTTTTAAGTGAGAATAGTTTGATACAATTTAGAAATAGTGCTAAATATGTCATTGGGGTGCTATTGTATTTTTGACTACCAAATAGTGCTAAAATTAGTACAATTGTACCAACTTTGGCATCCCTGGGTCCCATATATATTTTCTTGGCAGTATTTTCCCACCGAAGTGGCTGTAAATTTCGGGTTCTTGTAAAATGAAAAAAAAAATATTTAAAAAAGAGCTCGTTCATTCAGTTTTAAACACATTTTCCTACCAAGTGGCTTTAATCCGGTTTGACGTATTTTTTGGAAGAGGCAAAAAATATTCAATATAGAACCTTCTTTGGACTGTTTCCTGACTCTTCCAGATTCTAAAGATTTTGTGTACATTTTCCCACCGAATTTGTTGTAATTTGTAACATTGTAAAATATGTTGGCCGAAAGTCTTCACATAAATATGCCATTGCAGGTTCTTGTAGGGTGAAAACACATTCTTAGAAGATGTTCGATATAGGTCCATATTTTAAAGAAAGTAGAAATATGGGTTCACGTTTTCACATGGCTCTCGTGCAAAGACCTCATTGTACGTTGAAGATCCTAACCAGTTTTCCACATGAGTTTTTGTTTTAATCAAAGCCCTTGAACGAGTATTTTATTAAAATCCACTAGCTTCACATTCTATTCAAGTTTATGACAAAACGACATATCATGTAGTTTGTCATCACTGTTTTGAATATTATTGCATTTAATAGTTTTTTTTTATGAATGAGGTTATGTTTATCCATAAATCGCATGCTGTAAATGTGATGTGTTTTTATCGCTGTGTGTATTTCGCTTTTAATTGTAGGTCAAATCATAATATAATTTTATAAATGCTGGCTACTTTCAGATAAAAAGAAATTATGGTTTTAGATTTTTTTTTTTGCTCAAGAGGAAAACGACGTGTGGGTGTATGGCTAGACGTGTGTGAAAAATAACGCCAACATATTCCATTTTTGGCATGATGGATTTTTTATTAACAATTTAAATCACAGAGAACTTATTACAAATGCTTCAATAATTGGAAATCAAAATAGATCAGATTGAATGAGCTATATTATTTCAAACCACTACTACCACAAACCACTCTCACTAATCCACAACATTTTTGAAAACATTTCTCAAATTCTTTTGTGATTTATAATGTCCTGTAAATATACCTAGCATTGAAAAAAGTGCAGCATTCTTCTACACATTTTTTCCAGAAAAAGGCACAAAAAATTTGCAAATTGCAATGTCAGTGTTGGCTACAAGTTCAGCTCCGCCTTCATCATGGACCATCATAAATAATGCTATGTTCTTTCCTCTTTATTTTCATCTTGTTGCAGAATTTAATCAAAATAAACTCTGAACTGGAAAAATTGCCGGATTAAAAAAACTGGCATTTACCCGCAATGAAACGCCTTCATTTTTTCCTACTTTTACTTACACACCTTTTCTCACATTTATTTTATGGGATTTATTCTACAGAATTTTCACATCTAAAATGATGATGTATTATGTTGCTCGAAAATAGGAAATAAAACGAACAACACCAAATGAACTAGAGGATACTTGTAACGGAAACCAAGGATATGCAACACTCAGGAAATTTAATATATGCTGAGAAAATCTATTCGAAAGGAACAAAAAAGCGGAGAATTTGGTCAGTGCCAAAAACGAAAGAGGGGTGTTGTATTTTTCAATTTGTGTGGCACAACAAGAAAAGGTGGGCAGGAAATAATACTAATAGCTATCCTAGAAAAACAAATATTATGAATAACAATCTATAAAAGACAAATTTTTATTTGAATTATATTAATATTAAAAAAAACAATTGTAGTAAATACAAGCCTGCATTAGTTTAAAAAATACCAGCTTGAGAAAGTCCTTGACATACAATATCTAGGATTTTGATCCCTGAAAATAATATTTTTAAAAATTCCATCCATATGACAGACCTTAAAGGAAATAATGTTTAAAAATAGATGTTTTGAAAAAACAAGGATGTAGCGATGTCAAAATTTGTCCATATCCTATCTAGGATATTTGCATTAAGTCTGTGAACAGAAAATTGTTCTATGATTACGGAAAAAAATTCGGGGCTCAAAGGGTTAAAATAGGACAATTTTCAGGAAACTTTACACACATCATTCTAGACTCAATTCAGTACGCTATGTCAAATTTTGTGCAAAATTAAAATTAAATCGGGCATAAATATAAGGGAACTATATCTAAATCTGAACCGATTTTCACGAAATTTAACACACATCATTCTAGATTTGATTCAGTACGCTATGCTAAATTTTGTACAAATCGAAAGATATATAGGGACTTTGGTGCACCATTTACATAAAATCGGACGAAAATATATATGGGTGCTATATCTAAATCTGAACCGATGTTCACGAAACTTGGCACACAACATTCTAAACTTAATTGAGTACGCTATGCTAAATTTCGTGCAAATCGAAAGATATATACGGACTTTGGTGCACCATTTACATTAAATCGGTCGAAAAAATATATGGGAGCTATATCTAAATCTGAACCGATTTTCAAGAAATTTTACACACATCATTCTAGACTCAAGTCAGTACGCTATGCCAA